GAATATTGGGGCAAACCTAATATGGGGGCTATCTGAAAAAATGGACCTATACTATAAATTATTATTATGAAATTTTGCATAGGTTTGTCTTTTGTCTGCAGACAACTGCTACCACATTTAAACTAATTTTCCAATAGGAGAGTGAATATATGGAACAACGTGAACAAAACAAGAAAAGCTACCGCTCATAGGCAATCCGCACACTATTTTCTTCGCAGAGGGAGTTATAGAGGATATGCCAGTAATGACCATCAGCATTCGTGATTGACTGAGCTGGAAATAATTTATACATTTGTCGCCCACGTTGATACATTTATATGTAAATATATATGTGTCAAAAATATTAAGATTATTAAAAATTTTGAAGTACATGATTATATAAAACTATGTGTATGGAACGCAAGTTCAGTGCAGGTTTTAGATCTATAAATTCAATAATTCATGTTTAATAAAACAAAAATTAACAAATATACTTTCAGGATATATACACCTTATGCCAAAAAACAAACTTTCGCCTAACGGATTTTCTCGATTTTCATTGCAAGTTGCAGTGACAGTGGGGACTCTGTGCAGAAAACGTCATATTGCGCAAGAACTAAAATGGGCGCAGTATGGAGACCCACATCAATTGAAAGGTCTCGAAATGTACTTTCAGAATATATACACCTTATGCCGAAAAACAAACTTTCGCCAAACGGATTTTCTCGATTTTCATTGCAAGTCTCAGCGACAGTGGGGACTCTGTGTAGAAAACGTCATATTGCGCAAAAAGTAAAATGGACGCAGTATGGAAACCCACATCAGTTGAAAGGTCTCGAAATGTACTTTCCGAATATATACACCTTATGCCGAAAAGCAAACTTTCGCCTAACGGATTTTCTCGATTTTCATTGCAAGTCCCAGTGACAGTGGGGACTCTGTCTAGAAAAGGTCATATTGCGCAAAAACTAAAATGGACGCAGTATGGAGACCCACATCAATTGAAAGGTCTTGAAACCTACTTTCAGAATATATACACCTTATGCCAAAAAACAAACTTTCGCCTAACGGATTTTCTCGATTTTCATTGCAAGTTGCAGTGACAGTGGGGACTCTGTGTAGAAAACGTCATATTGCGCAAGAACTAAAATGGGCGCAGTATGGAGACCCACATCAATTGAAAGGGGGTCGCCAATGTTTAATTTAGAAAATCAATAGATTTCATTCTCTTGGGCGTTTTTACTTTTATTGTGTTTGAAAACGCATATTCGTTACAATCTGCATAAATCAACAGGTAATCTGTCTAACTCTATTTTTCCACTCTTCTATTTCTATGAATAAATCAACTGCTTTTCTTTGTATACATTTTGGTACGGTGAAAATGTGCCACATCGAAATATTGGTTCTAGACCCCATGTTTCTTTGGATCAAATTTGTTTCAGAAAATTGTGATTTCATCCAAACTTTCCCCATCTTATTATTTCTTCCAATCTTATTTCAAGTTCACAGATGGGAATATCGGTCCACTCCTTCTGGTACCTCCCACACAGGGGCTAGGCCTAAATACGGGTTATGGTTCATATATAGTTTTTTATCAAACCCTACGTTCTAGTTTTTTTATCCCGATATCCTCCACAGGTGATATGATTACAACAGAGTCTCAGAACCAAACCCAAAACACGGATAACTATTTTAATATAAACAAATTTAATATACCCTCCATACTTTGGTGGAGGGTATAATGAGGGGGTTATATGGGGACTACCGTAAAAAGGGCTCGAATATTAATAATTTTTATTGGGGAGATTTGTTACCATATGCGACTGTAAAATACCAAATTGCAGCGAATTCGGTTGAAAAAAGCGCTCAAAACCCCCAAAATACTGAATATTGGGGCAAACCTAATATGGGGGCTTTCTGAAAAAATGGACCTATACTATAAATTATTATTATGAAATTTTGCATAGGTTTGTCTTTTGTCTGCAGACAACTGCTACCACATTTAAACTAATTTTCCAATAGGAGAGTGAATATATGGAACAACGTGAACAAAACAAGAAAAGCTACCGCTCATAGGCAATCCGCACACTATTTTCTCCGCAGAGGGAGTTATAGAGGATATGCCAGTAATGACCATCAGCATTCGTGATTGACTGAGCTGGAAATAATTTATACATTTGTCGCCCACGTTGATACATATATATGTAAATATATATGTGTCAAAAATATTAAGATTATTAAAAATTTTGAAGTACATGATTATATAAAACTATGTGTATGGAACGCAAGTTCAGTGCAGGTTTTAGATCTATAAATTCAATAATTCATGTTTAATAAAACAAAAATTAACAAATATAAAGTATTTTATAAATAATATTAAAGGTTGACGATACCAGAGATTATTCGCCCAAATGACGTGTATTGGCCGGTATGGAGCCCTGGCTGGGAGCTCACACGCGAAGCTTTAATTTTGTAGTGTATTTCTGGCCCGGAACAATAGCGATTTGGCCAGGTTGATAAAATGCCGAATCAGCTAATTCTAAACCAACGAACTAGTCCAAGAGGGTTTGGGGAGCAGTTAAAGGAGGCGTGACCCCACGCGTTATATGCCGCGTCGTGGGACGGGACCGAGTTTGTTCCTCGAGCGGCGACCGAAGCTATATTATTACTAGGAACGGCAGTGGCGGAAAGGTCTTGAAACCTACTTTCAGAATATATACACCTTATGCCAAAAAACAAACTTTCGCCTAACGGATTTTCTCGATTTTCATTGCAAGTTGACAGTGGGGACTCTGTCTAGAAAACGTCATATTGCGCAAAAACTAAAATGGACGCAGTATGGAGACCCACATCAATTGAAAGGTCTGGAAACCTACTTTCAGAATATATACACCTTATGCCAAAAACAAAATTTCGCCTAACGGATTTTCTCGATTTTCATTGCAAGTTGCAGTGACAGTGGGGACTGTGTGTAGAAAACGTCATATTGCGCAAAACTAAAATGGACGCAGTACGGACACCCACATCAATTGAAAGGTCTCGAAACCTACTTTCAGAATATATATACCTTATGCCAAAAAACAAACTTCCGCCTTACGGATTTTCTCGATTTTCATTGCAAGTCCCAGTGACAGTGGGGACTCTGTCTAGAAAACGTCATATTGCGCAAAAACTAAAATGGACGCAGTACGGAGACTCACATCAATTGAAAGGTCTCGAAACCTACTTTCAGAATATATACACCTTATGCCGAAAAACAAATTTCCTCTAACGAATTTTCTCGTTTTTCATTGCAAGTCTCAGTGACAGTGGGGACTCTGTGTAAAAAACGCCATATTGCGCAAAAACTAAAATGCACGCAGTATGGAGACCCACATCAATTGAAAGGTCTCGAAATGTGGTTTCAGAATATATACACCTTGTGCCGAAAAACAAACTTTCGCCTAACCGATTTTCTCGATTTTCATTGGAAATCTCAGTGACAGTGGGGACTCTGTGTAGAAAACGTTTAACAACTGGCCGCCTTATAACACCCAATTATGTTCGAATATCTACAACCAGGGTTTTGGTGACACGCCCTAATTTAAAAGAAGTAGGTGGCAGTTTCGCATGACGTATTACAACTAAGTGAAAGTTCTTCAAAAGTATACGAAAAATGCTTAGAATGTCGGAAAAAAATTAATTTAAAACATTGATGGCTGCCTCCAAAGACCACACATGTGGGGAGCACCGGCTGGTTGTTTATATCCTAAGGAAGAGCACACTGCCACGAATAAAAATCCTTTTCTAGTTAGTGTGAAGCGCCGACAAAATTGGTCCCGTCATCAGAAAATATGGATTTGGGACAGCCACGGCGACCGATAAATCGATGAAATGTAGCAAGAAAAGTGGCCGACGATAGATCGGAGCAGCTTTTAAATGAATTGCTTTTGTTACAAAACAAACAAAAACACAGACGTAGCCCTGGTGATACGACAAACACGTCCATTAAAAGATTTGATATCAAAGGGACCGGCAAAAATCAACCCCGGTGGTAGTAAAGGCTTCTTCTTTGGTAGACTTTTCTCTAGTTGACAACCTTTAAAATGACGAAGCATTAGTTGATTTCCACCATGAACAGATTTTACATGTATGAAATCAACAAGAAGTCAGGTGAAACGGAACGAATATGGCAAAAGAATAGGAAATTTTTCAGCATAGAACAGCGAATTAGATTTAATAAAATGTCCGTTTAAAGGCATTGTTTATCTTTATTTAAGGTAAATTCTTTATTTTTTAATTATAAAAATAATTTATTTATAATTTTAAAATATTGTTTTTTTTTTTTTAGTTTATTTTAGTTTTTTTTTTTTGTTCGGCGAGAATAAATACGCGTATTGATGGCGATTTAATTCACAACAATAATTTACTTTTATTCTATTTCATTATCCTATTCATCTACATCTAACTTGATTATAAATTTTCATACTATTTAAATAATAATTTTTACAACTAAGAAATTCAAATAAGGTTTACATTATATTATTAATTCATATTTAATTTATAAATAATTAAATAAAACAAAACAAAAAATTATATAAATCAAACAAATTTTAAATGAAATAAAATGAATGAAGAATATAAATCTGCCCCCATTGAATGGCTGCAGCCCTTCAAACTATAGACAATGGAGCAAGCTTCTTTTTGGGCCTTTTAAATACGCCTTTCTTTGTTTTTATTTCCGCCACCTTGACCTTTCGTCTTTTCCCTCGGTGACGTTGAGTATTCGGCTGGTTACTCACTCTTGAGGTGGCAGATTGTCCTCGTGCAAGAGGACTCTATGTTGGACTGGGGATTGTGCCACTTGGCCTTGTCCTGTAGTCCTAGGAGGTAATCTCTCGACCAAGCCCGCCAGAACCTCTGCCTGAGAACGGAGAGCATCTGCCAGCACTTCCAGTACCTCTCCTGGTTATCGTTATCTTCTCCGACGGGTTCTGACGGCAGCGATCGCAGACCCGCCCCGAATAGTAGGTGCCTAGGTGTCAGAGTTTCTCCGTCGTCGGGTCTGGAGACAGCGGTGCTATGGGGCGACTGTTTAGCACCGCCTCTACTTCTACGAGCTCTGTGACCATCTCTTCTTGTGTCAGAGGCACTTTGCCGACAGCTCGTAGAAGCAGGAACTTTTCCTGTTTTACGGCAGCTTCACACAGCCCTCCGAAATGAGGCGCCGTCGGAGGAATGAAGTTGAATTGCACGTTCAACGAGGCAGCGTATTGCTCCAAGGTTTCTCGGTCTGCTAGGAACTTCTCCTGAAGCTTCCTCAGCTCTCTACTGGCTCCCACGAAATCCGTCGCGTTGTCGCAGTAGATCCTCTTGGGGAGCCCACGCCTCGCGGCAAACCTTTTAACAGAAATAATAAAAGCATCAGAAGATAATTCAGATACTAATTCTAAGTGAATCGCTTTGGACGTGAAGCAAACGAAGACGCCTATAAACATTTTGTATGTGCTCTTCCGCGTATTTTAAAGTAATATTTACCGGACAACAGAAGTCTACGCCTATTATTAAAAATGGACGTAAAGCTCTCACTCTATCAGTGGGAATATTGCCCATTATTTGGGTCATCAGTTTTGGCTTGTAGCAAAAACAATGAATACCATTCCGAACTATCCGATTACATTCTCCTCTGGCATTGATAAGCCAGATTTGCTCTCGAGACTTTCGTACCAGCATGACAATTATTAAAATGTAAATTATTTAAATATATTGACACAATTTTTTTTTTTTTTTTTGAAGTAAAAGTGGAAACTTTGTGGGGCAATTGTGCATTTAAGAGTCATCCACCTACTCTAAATCGTGGATAAATGGTGTCAATTTCTGGATATTGGATTTTAAGCATACTTACTTTTTTATTTGAAAAATCTCTTCTGAGAAACTCTATTTTTGAACTGCCTACACTAAGTTACGAAGAGACCAATTCAATTCTTGAGCTGTAAGAACGACAGATTTGGATGTCTTTCGTTTCTTGACTCGATCGACAAATCGGAAAACATATGAAACCACTCTGAGAAGTTGTTTATATGAGGAATGGTCATTTATTAATTTCAAAAGAATGTTCTCAGAACATTCCTTATCTGTCTCACTATTTGAAGTCAGTAATAGTTTGGATTTTCTTATTTCCTCAGTCAAGTCGAAATGCTTGTTGACTGACCATTTAGACACATCGTCCAACAAAAATGTAGGTGTTTCAAGCCATATCGATGATTTAATTTCATCTAAATTGCATCCTCTCAACACTATGTCGGCTGGATTTAGTTTAGTTGGCATATGACGCCAAACACATTTTTCTGACCATTCTTGAATTTCTGCAACTCGATTTGAGACAAATGTGGCCAGAGAAGAAGGATGGGTTTTTAACCAGTACAGTATAATTTAGGAATCGGACAAAAAAGTATATTTTTTCAACATCAAAGTTCATCATCGGTTTACTTCGTAACCACATATTTGTCATGAGATGTGCTGCTGAGAGCTCCAACCTAGGAAGAGACATAGTTTTGAGGGGAGCTACTTTAGATTTAGCTGTTAGCAGCCTGCAAGATACTAAATTAGAGTCCTGCGAAGGAATATAGAAACAACATCCATAGGAACGCATCGATGCATCTGAGAAACCATGAATTTGAATTATAGATGAAACATTTGTGTTTACCAATCTTTGGATTTGAATCGTGTCCAACTTTGAAAGATTGAATTGGAAATCTTCCCTGACAGAACTCAAATGCATAGGAATCGATTGATCTCAGTCTAATTTATTAATCCAAAGTTCTTGCAATAACATTTTGGTTATTATGGTTATTATTGGACACAAAAGGCCGAGGGGATCAAACAAACGTGAAGATATTGACAAAATGTGTTTTTTAGTAGCTTTCAAATTTTCGAAGCCTCCCTCTATGTAAAATTTGAAAACATCATTTCTTGGGGCTCAATGCCCTTGCAGTCTCAAAATCCAAATGTAACAACTTTTCACTAGAAGTTGTTTCATTGAAATCTGGATGATTAGAAAACCATTTTGTTAGATGTAATCCCGCTGAACTGAGAATAGTAGTGACTTCATCTCTAATTGTGAGAAGACTATTCAAATCAGCAGAACGAGTCAATAAATCATCCATCGCTTATAACTTTGGCGCCAATAGGCCAATAGGCCTCTTTGGACAAATCGCTCAATTGATTTAAGCAACCAATTGCTAGAAATGGAGCGGGCGAATTACCATAATCTGAGATCTCTATCTTCAATTAAAACATGACGATACATTTTCTCAATATCTGCACTAATTACGTATTTATGTAAGCGGAATCGAAGTAACGTTGAGTACAACTCTTCTTGAATGGTTGGAGCTACCATCAAGAGATCATTGAGTGAAACATGAGAAGATGTTTTACTCGATGCATCAAAAACGACGGGAAGTTTCGTAATAGTATTTTGAGGCCGGAAAACACATTGATGAGGAATGTGGGTTATTAGGAATTTTATTATTGGTTTTTTCCATGTGACTTAAGTCAAGGTATTCTTTCATGAAAGTATTATACATTTCATTAGATGTGTCGTCATGAGAAAGTTTTCTTTCCAATGCCAGAAACCGCCTTTTGGCTGTTTCAAATGACGAACCCACAAGTTTCACATCTCCTGTGAAAGGTAAAGACACTTGGAAGCGTCCTGACGATAAACGTCGAATATATTTTTGGAAATGTTCCTCACATTTTTGATGTCCCTCAGATCAAATTTCAAATTTCTTCCAACTCCCAGAATTTCATTTCAATTGCATAAATTGTATCATCATTTTCTATGGCAACATTCAAGTGACATACACCTGAATTCGACCCCTTTGACTCATCGTATTTGTCAGCTGCGAAGAGAAGTTTTTTGCAGAACCGGATAACTCGGATTTGATATGATTTGGCCTACACAAAGAAGTTCGAAGAAAACTTTAGCGCCTAGTAATAAATAAACTTTGCGAGGTTCATTGAAATTAGGGTCTGCCAGACTTAGGGTCTGGAAGACTTGTTATGGAACACAACTCCCAGAATCTAGATGAGAATAGGGTTGAATTGAGTCTCGACATCACAGACTTCCGATATGCCAGTTAAATTTAAGCGGAATATAAAAAGGCACAACTTAATTTGTAAGTAATAATTAAGTTAATGTTATCTTGCCGCGAAATCAATCAAAACGATTCACAAAATATATATAATTTAAAATATCAAACGTATAGGGATAATTTGTGTGAATTACGGCACTCGCAGCGACGGGGCATCTGGATTTGATGTCAGCAGGTTTGTATACCCTCCACCATAGTATGAAGGGTAGATTAATTTTGTAATTCCGTTTGTAACTCACCGAAATATTCACTTCCGACTCTATAAAGTATATATATTCTTGATCAGGGTAAACTTCTAAGACGATCCAGCCATGTCCGTCCGTCTGTTGTAATCACGCTATCTTCCGAAGGAATTTAGATAGGGTGCTGAAATTTTGCATAGGGTTGTCTTTTGTCTGCAGGCAGGTCAAGTTCGAAGATGGGCTATATCGGTCCACGTTTAGGCATAGCTCCATATAAGGGTACCCCCGGAATTTTAGGGTTCTTGAGCGCGTTTTTCAACCGAATTCGCTAAAATTTGGTGCATTGGGTTCTTATTGGGTAATTAATGTCGCCACAAAAAATTATAAATATAGGTCCACTTTTTTTGGTAGCCCCCATATAACGGTACTTCCTAATTTTTCAGTATTTTGGGGGTTTTGGTCGTATTTTTCCACCAAATTGGCTGTAATTTAATACTTTGGGTTCTAAATAGGTTCCAAATCACTCCACCAAAAATTATGAATATAGGTCCTTTTTTTCTGGTAGCCCCCATATAATTCGCTGAAATTTGGTATATTGGGTTCTTATTGGGTACCCCCTAAAATTATAAAATTTTCAGTATTTTGGGGTTCTTGAGCGCGTTTTTCAGGCGAATTCGCTGAAATTTGGTATATTGGGTTCTTATTGGGTACCAAATATCTCCACTAAAAATTATAAATATAAGTCAATTTTTTCTGTTAGCCCTCATATAAATTTACCACCAAATTTCAGCATTTGGAGGTTCTTGAGCGCGTTTTTCAACCGAAATCACTGAAATTTGGTATTTTGTAGCCGTATATGGAAACAAATCTCCCTACCAAAAATTATTAATAGTCAACTCCTCTTAGGCGTAGTCCCCATATAACCCCATTTTTATACCCTCCACCATAGTATGGAGGTTATATTAGTTTTGTTTTTCCGTTTGTAACGCATCGAAATAATCATTTCCGACCCTATAAACTATATATATTCTTGATCAGCGTAAAATTCTAAGACGATCTAAGCATGTCCGTCTGTCCGTCTGTCTGTTGTAATCACTCTAGCGTCTAAACGAATTGAGATAGAGCCCCAAAATTTTGCATAGAGTCGTCTTTTGTCTGCAGGCAGGTCAAGTTCGATGATGGGCTATATCGGTCCACGTTTAGGCATAGCTCCCATATAAGGGTACCTCCCATTTTTCGGTATTTTGAAGTTCTTAAGCGTGTTTTTCAACCGAATTCGCTGAAATTTGGTACATTGGGTTCTTATTGGGTACTAAATGCCTCCACAAAAAATTATCAGTGTAGGTCCACTTTTTCTGGTAGCCCCCATATAACGGTACCTCCTAATTTTCGGTATTTTGAGGTTCTTGAGCGCGTTTTTCAACCGAATTCGCTGAAATTTGGTACATTGGGTTCTTATTGGGTACCAAATGTCCCTACTAAAAATTATATATATAGGTCCACTTTTTCTGGTAGCCCCCATATAAGGGTACCTCCCCATATCCAGTTTTTGGGGGGTTCTGACCGTATTTTTTCACCGAATTGGCTGAAATTCGGTACTTTGAGTTCTTATTGGGTAGCTAATCTTTGTACTAAAAATTATAAATATTGGTCAATTTTTTCGGGTAGCCCCCATATAAGGGTACCCCCCAATATTCTGTATTTTAGGGATCTTGAGCGCGGTTTTCAACCGAATTCGCTGAAATTTGGTACATGGGGTTCTTATTGGGTACCAAATTTCCCCTCTAAAAATTATAAATATAGGTCCACTTTTTATGGTAGCCCCCATATAAGGGTACCTCCCAAGTTCCAGTTTTTGGGGGGTTTTGATCGGATTTTTTCACCTAATTGACTGTAATTTAGTAATTTGAGTTCTTATTGGGTAGCAAATCTCTTCACAAAAAATTATATATATAGGTCAATTTTTTCGGGTAGCCCCCATATAAGGGTACCCCCAATTTTCAATATTTTGAGGTTCTTGAGCGCGTTTTTCAACCGAATTCGCTGAAATTTGGTAATTTGTAGTCGTATATGGTAACAAATCTCCCCACCAAAAATTATTAATATTCACCGATTTTTAGGGGTAGTCCCCATATAACCCCCTTTTTATACCCTCCACCATAGTATGGAGGGTATATTAGTTTTGTTTTTCCGTTTGTAACGCATCGAAATAATCATTTCCGACCCTATAAACTATATATATTCTTGATCAGCGTAAAATTCTAAGACGATCTAAGCATGTCCGTCTGTCTGTTGTAATCACTCTAGCGTCTAAACGAATTGAGATAGAGCCCCAAAATTTTGCATAGAGTCGTCTTTTGTCTGCAGGCAGGTCAAGTTCGATGATGGGCTATATCGGTCCACGTTTAGGCATAGCTCCCATATAAGGGTACCTCCCATTTTTCGGTATTTTGAAGTTCTTAAGCGTGTTTTTCAACCGAATTCGCTGAAATTTGGTACATTGGGTTCTTATTGGGTACTAAATGCCTCCACAAAAAATTATCAGTGTAGGTCCACTTTTTCTGGTAGCCCCCATATAACGGTACCTCCTAATTTTCGGTATTTTGAGGTTCTTGAGCGCGTTTTTCAACCGAATTCGCTGAAATTTGGTACATTGGGTTCTTATTGGGTACCAAATGTCCCTACTAAAAATTATATATATAGGTCCACTTTTTCTGGTAGCCCCCATATAAGGGTACCTCCCCATATCCAGTTTTTGGGGGGTTCTGACCGTATTTTTTCACCGAATTGGCTGAAATTCGGTACTTTGAGTTCTTATTGGGTAGCTAATCTTTGTACTAAAAATTATAAATATTGGTAAATTTTTTCGGGTAGCCCCCATATAAGGGTACCCCCCAATATTCTGTATTTTAGGGATCTTGAGCGCGGTTTTCAACCGAATTCGATGAAATTTGGTACATGGGGTTCTTATTGGGTACCAAATTTCCCCTCTAAAAATTATAAATATAGGTCCACTTTTTCTGGTAGCCCCCATATAAGGGTACCTCCCAAGTTCCAGTTTTTGGGGGGTTTTGATCGGATTTTTTCACCTAATTGACTGTAATTTAGTAATTTGAGTTCTTATTGGGTAGCAAATCTCTTCACAAAAAATTATATATATAGGTCAATTTTTTCGGGTAGCCCCCATATAAGGGTACCCCCAATTTTCAATATTTTGAGGTTCTTGAGCGCGTTTTTCAACCGAATTCGCTGAAATTTGGTAATTTGTAGTCGTATATGGTAACAAATCTCCCCACCAAAAATTATTAATATTCACCGATTTTTAGGGGTAGTCCCCATATAACCCCCTTTTTATACCCTCCACCATAGTATGGAGGGTATATTAGTTTTGTTTTTCCGTTTGTAACGCATCGAAATAATCATTTCCGACCCTATAAACTATATATATTCTTGATCAGCGTAAAATTCTAAGACGATCTAAGCATGTCCGTCTGTCGGTTGTAATCACTCTAGCGTCTAAACGAATTGAGATAGAGCCCCAAAATTTTGCATAGAGTCGTCTTTTGTCTGCAGGCAGGTCAAGTTCGATGATGGGCTATATCGGTCCACGTTTAGGCATAGCTCCCATATAAGGGTACCTCCCATTTTTCGGTATTTTGAAGTTCTTAAGCGTGTTTTTCAACCGAATTCGCTGAAATTTGGTACATTGGGTTCTTATTGGGTACTAAATGCCTCCACAAAAAATTATCAGTGTAGGTCCACTTTTTCTGGTAGCCCCCATATAACGGTACCTCCTAATTTTCGGTATTTTGAGGTTCTTGAGCGCGTTTTTCAACCGAATTCGCTGAAATTTGGTACATTGGGTTCTTATTGGGTACCAAATGTCCCTACTAAAAATTATATATATAGGTCCACTTTTTCTGGTAGCCCCCATATAAGGGTACCTCCCCATATCCAGTTTTTGGGGGGTTCTG